AGGATACGTCATGGGAATGCCGAGATCCAAAATGTTTAGAGCAGAATCAGCGAACTTCTTTGTGTGGAGTTCGGTCAAACGCTGGTGGCAGCCATGTTTGTTTTTATTATTAATGGGCGCTTACGCGCGTAATCATTTCATATTTGGAATTAGCATTTTCTAATATGGTAGGATGAAAATACCCCGGAAAATACCCTCTTAAATACCACAAAATTACGGCACGCTGTAACTTATTGTGTTACGGTGACAGATGTATAATAATACGTTATAGCCGAAGATTTTGCTTTCTCGTTATTCTTGCTTAGGCAGAATAGTGTGCAAATTTTCTGAGGCTAGTACGAGTTAGTTGAAAGAAGATGGCAGTTTTATTTCAGGGGAATTTTTACGTTGCGACTTGGAAACATTGATGTTCGCTGCACTGCGACTCTGCGCGTTTGGAACGTTCGTAATCTGTCCTACCTTCCAGTTTGTTCACCCCAGGTCACGCAATATGCCACTCTTCATCCCAGAGTTCATAGCGTAGGCAGGCGAACACCTCTGCCACACATGATTTTTCACGTTATGATTTGCCACATATTAATACGCAGGTGTTGTTCGGTTATTCAAGACGGCGGCCCATACCCAGTTGGCAAGGAAACTATTAAATCTTTCTCTTCCCATACACTTTCCATTTGCTTTGGTTTCAATTCTACGTCAGAATTGTATCCATTCAGAATACGTTTTAAAGTTCCCGAACTCCGCCATATTTAAATATACACTGTAGCCTCGTTATAACGAACTCTTTGGGGGACATACAATTAGTTTGTTATAGTGAAATGTTCACTATAATGAAGCACATATTACATTGGGTTTGTTGTGAGCGGGAGACACACTATGTGTTCATTATATCAGGAAATTCATTATAACGGTGTTCATTATATTGAGGTTACAGTGTAGTTCGGGCTTGACCCTACCAGTGACCTTTGATTTGCATAAATGCATAATCAAGCTGTGGCAGAGGTGTTCCTAATAATTGAATTGTTTTGAAAAGTTTTTATTTGATATTCCTGTGATTGAAAAAGGTTTTGTCGTTATGATGCATACGAAATGACATCCTGTCATTGTTGATTTTGTGGGATTTCGTTTTGGCTAATATAATACTTGGTATTGGTTATGATGGCAAATTGGATATGCTCATATTTATGTAACCGTACACAGCGTATTGTTATTGGGGCGCGCAATCTGCATGGGCGGGTATTACATATGGAATGCCACAGGGCCCCATTTTGGGACCAGTACTGTATTATTTATGTGAACGATCTCCCCGATCACATAAGTTCATCTTACTGCTTAACCTATGCCGATGATACACAACTTTATAAATCTATCATAAATGTCACAGACTGTTTCACCCTCCATAATGATTTAAATAAGGCTCCATGATTGGTGTAAGGCTTGGTTTCTCAAGCTAAATCCCCAGAAGTGTAACGTTATCTCGTTCACTAAGAAACGCTCGACTCTCTATCACAATTATAAGATAGATGGTTTGCCTATTGAACGTGTCACTCAAGTTAAAGGCCTCGGTGTCATATTGATGGATAACCTTAGTTGGCCCGCTAATGTTGGCACTATTGTGACAAAAGCATACAAAATGCTAGGTCTAATAAAAGGCACGTGAAGCATTTACCAGTATTACATGTCTACGCAGTTTGTATATTTCACTAATTAGAAGTCGTCTTGAATACTGTACTCAATTCTGGTCACCTCATCAAAAATATCTGGTTGGTAGAGTTGAGCGGGTCCAACAAAAGTTTGTCATACACTTATGTTATCTTACTTCTCGCCCATTTGGATCATCACAGTATCATTGGTTATGCCTTCGTTTTAATTTATTGCCACTTGAGAATTGTAGAAATTTACTTGACTCCGTCTTTTTGTATAAATGCCTTAATAATATTTTTGATTCTCCCTACATTATTTCCAACATTCCTTTTCATGCTCGCTCCAGAAATCTCCGCTTCGTATGTCCATATTGCTAGTTCGGTAGACATTTTTAAATGTCATAAGTTGAGCTTTGGGTCTTTCTTTTTATTTTATATTATTTTTAAGAGTGGATGTTTTAATTGATGGTCATGCTTCATCCAGTACTTACACACTACAAAAAGAAGACCAAGGAATAAAATTAGCTCAAAGTCAGATAAAATTGACTTATTGCACCTTTTCTTGGTTTGTGTACAAGCGAGTTCATGGCGATGCGTTATAACTCTTAATATCACTACTCAATAGGCGATATCATGCTATATCATGCACACCATCACAGAGCCCTAATTTCCATG